TGTATATATATATTCTGTTTATGTATATACTGTATTCTATATAAAGTACCAGTCAAAAGTTTGGACACACGAATGGGAAGTGTGTCCAAACTTTTGACTATACTGTACTGTTATATAGCCTAGAATGTGAGGAAAGATTCCAGCACTGCCACCAAACACACATCCTACACAAACATTTAAAAGGCACATCTCCATATTGGATTGTACATTCACAAATTAGCAACAGCTGACAAGCTTAATTCAAGTCATCACACTAATTAATAGGAGTTAACTATCCACAAGTAATAATCACCCAATCAGAGCAGGTTCACATCAGATCAACACGCATCAGGAAACATACACTGCAGAAACACACATGAAACCACCATCATAGAAACTCTTTAAGAGAAAAATCCTCGTTCATACCTTTTGGAAACAGACTTTTCAAATAAAAAAATCCAAAAAGCTTCCCGCTTCTTTCTTAGGCAATCAGTGTTACCACCTCTTGAATTCTGCTTAATCTTTTCAATTCCAAGAAAAAACAAAGATGACATTGCAACAGGACTCTTTAGATCCTTTCTATTTATTGCACTTCTATGTTCTGTAAACCTTTCCTTTAATGCATTGATTGATTGAAGCACAAACATTTTTTTTCTGTGGTAATCAGTTATGTTTGACAAATGCTGTTGATGGAGCCTAACCCTGTTACATCACATTTGAGGCTGGAAGTACATGGTGTGTGATGGAGGTACGATACACTGGAGGGAAATACCTCAGCATCCAGCCACTTTAAAGCAGCATGACTCTCAGGAGAGAACACACTTGTACAGACAGAGAAACTATTGTAATGCTCTCGGAGCAGCTGTGCGTGTTTGTCTTTCGAGTGCCTGTTGGGACGATCGGCTCTGCCTGTACTGCATGTCCTTTGACTGCTCATTGGATTATATTTCTTTCCCTCAGAGAAGTCAGTGTGTCAAGTGCGAGTGTTTTCTCCTCTCCCCATGTGTTCATGTGCGCATCCATGCTTAGCTGAAGAAGCTGTTAAGCTCTGTAAGTGACTCCCGGCCTCTTTAGGGTCACTAAAACGGCAAATCTGTAGGAGTTTGTTATGCCAAGGCAGAGCAGAAACTGTTTTATTATTGTTTAACAGAAAACAGTGTAAGGTCTCAGGAGCCGGCGGTGTATTATTGTCTTTAGAAATGTGTGCGTCCCATTGCGCAAGACTTTCTGTTTTTAGATTTTAAAGTCAATATGGAATGGCATTCCCAAGCCATTTTACTTATGTAATCTGACATATTTTTGGGTGATGGAAAAATCTGCACACCATTATCAACATTTTTTTTTTTAAACAACACGCATATCTTTGATTATAATTCATGAATATTTATGTTTTTTTTTGGAAAGTTGCACCACATGACATTTTACAAACTGAA